TTTTTATAAATATATTTAATCTTATATTTTATAAATATATATACACATTAATTATTTATTAATTATATTATCTTATGTATTATTAATTATGTTGGTAAAAAACATATTATTAACAATTTTATTCCTTCAAATTAAAATATATCATAAAATCTATTTTTTCTGTAATTATCATATTAACTTATGTCTTTTTTTTAGTAATTTGTATATATAAAAAGTGCTTCTGATAACAACTATCCAAACACTCTTACTTCTCAGAATCACTTTTTTACAAAATCTATTCTTCATCCAGAATCTATTCTCCAGAATCACTTTTCCAAACCACGGTTTGGTTTCATCCAAACACACTCTAAAGATTGTTCCTGAAAGTAAATTTCAGAATTTTTTTTTTTGACCAGAGAGAAAAAAATTTCAATCAAGCCAAATTTCTCAAACATATGTTTTTGGATAAAAATTTCTTACAAAGTTAAGAACATACTACCTCCCTCCTTAATATAAGATCCCGTTTAACTTTTATGTTGATCCTAAATATAAAACTCCAATTCATTTTGTCTCTCATATTTATTCAATTTTTTCTAAGATAGTCATTCTAATAATTATAGTTTTAACCAACATTTTTTATTAGTAAGGATATTTTGAGAAATACAACACCTATTTATTATAAATAACTAATTTAACTTCTTTTTTAATTTTTTTAGGAGGTGTTTGGATGAAACCAAACCATGGTTCGGAGAATAGCTTTTGGAAAATAGATTTCGAGGAGAATAGATTTTGTGAAAAAGTGATTCTGAGAAGTGAAAGTGTTTGGATAGCTGTAATCAGAAGCACTTTTTATATATATAAATTACTAAAAAAAGCATAAGTTAATATGATAACTACATAAAAGATAGATTTTATGATATATTTTAATTTGAAAGAATAAAATTGTTAATAATATATTTTTAACCAACATAATTAATAATACATAAGATAATGTAATTAATAAATAATTAATATGTATATATATTTATAAGATATAAGATTAAATATGTTTATAAAAAATAATTGAGGGATGTTAAAGTCATATTATTGTTGAGATCTACTCTGATAGGTACAATCATACTCTCTAATTTGAGCCAGAAGTAGAATGGATTTATTTTTCCTGAAACCATGGTTTCGGATTTCAAAACCATGATTTTAGCCCAAACCATAGTTTCAGATTATTGGTCCAAAATTAATACTTTTTGAGTGACATTTCACCCAAACCATGGTTTTGGAAGGCACCCAAATAGGTTCTTAAATTAGATTTATAAAAACTAGTTTGTAAAAGTTAAATTAGATAAAATATTATTTGGATTGTGATTAAATAAAAGTAAGTTTAATTTGTAAAATTATCAGAGGAGCTTTTATCTGCTAATTAAATCCACCAGCGGAGCAGTCTTAGAGGATTACGTGTGTTTTGGGACATTCAATTCTCTGCACAGTACACTTTGCGTTGTTCTGGGGCTGAATGCCCCCAAACACACTCATAGAAATTAAACGGAGTTGTTTGGTGTTATTTAGAAATCGTCAAGTCAACTGAAAATCGTGTTCTTATTAAAGCGATATAAAACTAACTTTATATTGGAAATTACATATAAAGGCTCATGTTTCCAACCTAAAAGCAAATAAGTAGTTAGATAATAGAGACAGACTAATGGGATTTTTTTTTTTTTTTCTGTGACCTATAATGAGATGGAAATTTGAACGTGTCATGTAAACTGTAATGGCGATGATGCTGCATTTGATACGCTTGGAAGTGGATTCATCAAAAGGAATATCTGATCTATATTTCAAAGTAGCATGTTGTCTCTCTTTGCGGGAGGAAGGCTTGTCTTCAGCTTTTCCGAAGAAGGAAGGTCTGCCTTTTCTGGCAAACAATACAATTTGAATGTTGTTATTTTGATAAACATTAACCATTTTCTCTTCAATTATGCCACGGCATCATTCTAACGAAGTGCTTTCTGCGTACTCATCTCCGCAAGGTGTTCAACATTTCGGTTTCCCGGTCCGTTATTGTCGTCTCGTGTTACTCTTCCGGTCCTTAATATAACCTAATTCTCAAGTTGATTTTGATCATAAATATAAGACCTCTTTCTTATATTTATCAATTTTCTCTAAATTACCCCTATGAATACTCCCTCAACCATAATCAAGTAAAAGAGGGAGATGGGGTATTAAGAAAGATGATTATGGTGTTTTAGGAAAAATGTGTCACTTTTTTTATAATTAACTAACTTACCTAACTTCTTAATCTAATCAAATTAGTTAAATGGGTCATATATTAAGGACCGGAGGAGTATTTTCGTTTTCAATAACTCGTAAACAGGACGCTCTACTGACATTTCATGTTGCCCGTGTTAAACTCCAGTTGGCAATTGAACTAAGGCCTCTTTGGGGTGAACTAGGCCCGTTTTAAATAAGTCATAAACAGTTTTTTAATTATTATTTATGAAATATAACATAAATATGTGAAATTTTTTTTTATTTCAGCTTATGTAAAATGTGTTTATAGATGTTTTTACGAATGCATATTAAAAATCTCTCTCCATTTGTCGTCTTTCTTCCCCACTTCCTCGGCCATCTTTTGTTAGCTCCTGCTTTGCAACAGCCGGGCAACTCCTCCCTAAACAAACCGTTAGCATCATATCACTCTATCTTGTTTGTTTCTTCCTCTGTTTTTATGGGTCACATTAGAAGTTATTCTCAGAATTACTAAAAAAACGAACGAATGAAAAAGAAGGAATTACATATAGAGACAAGGAGAGCAGAGGAGGGGAGGGTGAAGCCTGCAATTTTGGTCGGGTCGGCACAATTGTGAGCGAGGCCCTTGGTGATGAGGGTGAAGGGAGCAAATGAGCCTGGGTGCGAAGAGTGATTTTGTGCAGGGAGAAGAAGAACAGGTTAGTAATTTTGTGCCAGGGCAAGAAGAGGATCTGAAAAATGTGTTGGGAGTGGCTACCGCGGAGGAGGGAGAGAGAGTTTGAGGAAATTAAAGACAAGGGCGGAAGAAGACTAGTGAGGCGAGAGGAGAGAGTGAAAAAATAGAACCTACCTCAAAAAGTAAATGGACATTTGGACCCCGTAATGAATGCGAGAAAATTGCACTGCTTTTTTAAAGTTTGTATATGCTTTTGCACCGTTCAAAACTTTATGGCGTAAGATATTATTAGTCTAAAACTTTATTACTCTTCCGGTCTTTAATATAAGACCTAATTATTGATTGGTTTTGGTCCTAAATATAAGACCCATTTCTCATATTTATCAATTTTTTTAAATTACCCTGTAGATACTCCCCCAACCATAACCAAACAAAAAAGGAAGTTGAGGTATTAAAAAAGATGATTATGGTATTTTAAAAAAATGTATCATATTTCTTATAATTAACTAACTTACCTAACTTCCTTAATTTAATCAAATTAGTTAAATGGGTCTTATATTAAGGATTGAAGGAGTATTAAAATTACATTTTAATCTTTTGTATTTAACACAATAAAATTGTTTCCCCTACTTTTTTCCTTCTCATCTTTATTTTCCCAGTATCAAATGCCACAGCTTAAAGAGCAAGCAATGGTTTAGGATACTTTTTTAGGACACAATTTTTTAACACTTACTATTAGATTTTTTTTATTAATTGGGTGTCTTTAAAGGGAGAATGTCAATTGGTTCCTTGCAAAGAAAATCATGGACGACGCTTTAATCCTTTGACTTTGAGCATTTTACTAGTTTAAAATTGACAAGATGATGTGTTGGCCAGAAAAATTAAGCAAATGATGTACTATATTAGTAATTCTTTCAAAGCAGAGACAAAGTGTCGGTAGTTCTTTTTTTATTATTTAATTATCAATAGAAATTTTTTTATGTCATTTGTTGATCATTCTATTCAGATTGTTTGATCAGAATAGTTTATCAATACAATTAAATAGCTACAAAAACTATGTCAATATCAATTATATGAAACAAGTAAACCAAACAATTTTTTCTTCTTCATCTTATAACCTACTATTTTGGGAGTAATTTTTTCAATCTAGTTTTTTTCAGAAAAATTATTCTTTTTTTTTAATTTTCACCTAAAACTTGTTTTGTAAAATAAGCTTATAAAATTTGAGTCCAAAAAAAAATAAGCTTATAAAATTGCCATTCTGAGAACAAGAAGAAGGACGAAACAAGCTCAGAACTAATGAATTAAGTTACCCCGTATTCAATGTGAGCGTCAGCACTAAGCAACCGCTCCCCGCGACAACAAAGGCAAGTGCCACACAAAGTAACAAAGGAAAAGCGAAACATGATCTGCCAATGCGAACACTCATCTAAAACGAATTCTTTTAAGAAAAAATTACAAAAAAATCCCACTTAAGAAAACTAAATATCAAAAAACCTATTAAAATCATCAAATTAATATGAAGTCCCAATAAGCCTTATTACAAAAGATTCTACTTATTTATCTTTATCTTTTTTTAATATGGATTGATAACTGAAAGATTAGTCATTAACAATTTAATACATAACAATTAATAACTATTATAACAGGTATTAATAAAATATTTTCTCAATGTATCACAAAAATATAATATATGAGTTGTCAATATCTATTACAGTAATTGTTAATTGTTACTCATTAAATTGTTAACAACTGTGCTTTTAATTATTAATATATATTTAAAAAATAAGGATAATTTAGTAATTAAACCAGTAAAATCTTCTGTAAGGTTTCAGATTAATCTGATAATTTAAAAAAATTGTATTTAATTTTTTAGTAAGATTTATTGCAATTTTTCCTTCTTTTTCAAAGCTTTCTTTTGTTTTCCTACGTACGGTTCCAACAAACGGAAGACTAAAGGGTGTATCATCGAGACGCGAACTGAAGACTGAAGAGCCACATCTAGAATTCTAGATATTATTATCAGCCCAACCAATTGTTTGCCGCCAAATGAAGGACTTGGCAAGCTGCGTCACAATTTCCCTCTCTCTTCTTGTTAAATTAAAGCACCCGTGTTCCTCTGCTTTTCCCATCTTTATATAAACAGCATCGTCGCAGTTCGCTTAGTTTCAGTCACTCGGCAGCGAAGAGTTTGACAGAAGAAGATGGGCGTGCCTGCATTCTACAAATGGCTGGTTAGCAAATATGACAAGGTTATAGTGAAAGCCCGCCAAGACACAGGAGAAACTGAAGATGCCACCTTGTCTAATTCCAATGCCCAAGTCTTTGATAACTTGTACCTTGACTTGAATGGAGTCATCCACCCCTGCCTCCGCCCAGATGACGATGATGTAACTCACTGCTCTCTCTTCCCCTCCTTTTTTGTGTGTGTGAATAATGTATTATGATATTCGGAGCTTGTATAATAAAACCTGTAAGAGTACCGCAAAATTTGATATTATGATACGCAGAGCACTCCGACAACGATCGAAGAAGTATTCCACAATGTATTTGAACACATTGATCGGCTTTTCAACATAGTTAAGCCTCGCAAGCTCGTGTATGTGGCAATAGGTGAGGGACGTAATATTTCATCACCTTAACTAATTAAAAATACTAGCTGGAAGAGCTTTGTCTCCTGGTTCTGTTGTCGATCTGTGAATAGTTTGAAAGACTAAAGATACTGTTTGCATGTTTCTCTCACAGACGGAGTAGCCCCTCGGGCCAAAATGAACCAACAGCGATCGAGGCGTTTTCGATCAGCAAAAGACGCGGAAATAAGGGTGAGTTTGAGGAATGTAATTCGAATATTGGCCCATTTCTGTTGATCATGGGGGCTTGATAAATGGTATATTTTCCCTCTTTCGTTTTTCATAGGAATGGGAGGAAAACAGGTTGAGAAGGCAGTTCGAAATGGATGGCAAACAAGTTCTTCCAAAACGAGAACCGGATGTTTCCGACTCCAATGTGATTACACCGGGCACCGAGTTCATGCACAGACTATCAAGAGCCCTGCAAGACTATATCTTTGAGAAGATAACCCATGATCCATCTTGGAGGAATATTATGGTGCGTGTAGGGTTTATACACGTGGGCTTGGCATTACTTTTTCACTCATAGCGGCTATACAACACATTTAACTTGTATAATTCATTTGCACCTCAGGTGATTCTCTCTGACGCCAATGTCAGTGGAGAAGGAGAACATAAAATTACGTCTTTCATACGAAGGCAGAGGACTCTGCAAGATTATGATCCAAATACCACACACTGCTTATATGGGCTGGTACCAAAAATCAGTCAGAGCTTGACTAGTATTTTTGTATAGTTTCATTCTGCTGAGAGCTTCGAATACCTTCCTGGTTTATTTATTCATGTTGGAAACTTGTATTTCAGGATGCTGACTTGATAATGCTAGCCCTGGCAACACATGAACCACATTTTTCAATACTACGAGAGGTGGTTTTGAATTTTGATACCTAGAAGTGTATTTATTGATAGATGACTTAAGATCCATTGACGTTTATAGTTGATGTTATTTTCTAACTGGTGTATATGATAAACAGGTTGCGGTCACAGCAGAGCAGCAACCAAAAAGTGCGGCAATACCTTTCGAGGTATCATATATAAGTAATTATTGCTTTCACCAGTTAGTGGATATCGTTACTCTTTATTAGTTTCAACTGTCTATTTTTCCTTTCTGCAGTTTGTGGACATTAGGTTGTTGAGGGAATACCTTCAACATGACTTGAACACACAAGATCCACCCAAAGAATTCAACATCGAATTTGAGAGGATAATTGATGATTTCATCTTCATTTGCTTTTTGGCTGGAAATGATTTCCTGCCTCCCTTGCCTTCTTTGCAAATTCACGAGGTAATTTTACCAAAATTTATTTGCCGTGTATGTTATACGGCTTCAGCCTGCTGTTAATTATTTCTTATTGTCCTGTAGGATGCTGTGGATTTACTAATGACAGTTTACAAGAAAGAGTTCAAGAATATTGGAGGGTATCTTGTTGATATGAGTAAGGTAAACCTCCTCTTGTTCCTTGTATATATAATATAAATTATATTTTCCTGAGTCTGAACTTTCTTTTGCGAGCACTACGCTCTCCCCTATGATACTAACAGGTCGAGGACGGGAAAGCCGCTTTTGTGAAGTTATCAAGAGTTGAAAAATTCATCCTTTTGGTTGGAACATATGAAGAGAAAATTTTCACAAAAAGATCCGAAATAAGAGAGAAAGTATTGAGAAGATGTATGAGAGAATATGAACAGTCTGTAAGTTGAAATACCCGACTTTGAAACATCTATACGTTGAAGTTAATCTTAGATCCTCGTAATTCACTCATTCTTGCCCAGAAACAGGAAGAGGAGAATGCAAGTTCTGAACAATGCTACGAAAGTACTTCGGCATCTGTTTTCCTCTGTGAGAATCCCACTGTTTCTGCTGATTCAGAAGTAAGTTGGCAAGTCCTCCCTGGAAGAACAATTTAGCTTGTATTTACAAATAATGACAAAAATAAATTACTGTGTCTCGTGTGAAATGATATTTTGATCCGTGATATGAAGGAGCAGCAGATTATGCAGAACACAAAGGAGTTAAAAGAACAATTAAATAATTGCATCAAACGCAAATTAGATCTCTATAGAAGTGGAGTGTTTCCAAATGATAAGGTATGGAGTATTGCACTGTGAAGGTTCCTAATTAGTTTCTTTGAATGATTCTTTTATCTACACCAGCATGCATGTTCTAGAAAGTAACGGATATCAATTAGCATGCGCTGTTCCAATTCATTGCAGGTAAAATTAGGAACACAGGGTTGGAAAGAAAGGTATTATAAAGTGAAATTCTCTGTGGAAAGTATCGAATCCAAGAGAAAAGAAATAGTAAGTGTACAATTATTTCTTCTCCAGACCATTGTCTCAAATGGTTGTATTATATTTTTATACTGACGTTGCATAGTGAATGTATTTGACTGATAATATTTTCCTGTAGGTCAATAAGTACACAGAGGGACTGTTATGGGTGCTTAAATACTATTATTTTGGTGTTCCTTCGTGGTCATGGTTAGCCCATCGATTTGGATATATATACTGAATTTTCGGTTTTGTATAATTTCTTTTACTGAATTGTGAATGTGAATTGTAAGACATAAGAACTGGATCATGCAGGTTTTACCCTTACAATTATGCACCTTTTGCTTCGGATTTTAGGGGCATGACTCAGGTGAGATTAAACTTTCACAAAGGGGTCCCATTAAAACCTTTTGATCAGCTCCTAGCTGTTCTGCCCCCCAGGAGGTAACCATTCGATATTTCATGTTCATTTTTCTTTCCTACGAAAATGAAACTGATTTTACTTCTGGGGCAGCGCTCATGCACTACCGAAGTCATATTCACAATTGATGGTCGATGAGCAATCAAACATAATTGACTTTTATCCACATAGTAAGTTTTATGTTAAGAATCCAAAGCATTCAAAATGTTAATGCTTTCTATTTTCTTCATCTTATTTATCTTGCTTTGAATTTGTAGATTTTGAAGTTGACACGGATGGAAAGCGGTTCATGTGGCAGGTTTTATTTATCTTTCGACTTTCACTTAATAGAATCATCAAAATCTTTTTTTCCCATGCAGTGCAATATGCTAACAGAACCATCAATTGTGTCACAGGGCACGTTGAAACTTCCATTTATAGATGAAGCGCGGCTTTTGACTGAATCAAGAAAACTCGAGAAGGAGTTAACTGTATGGTTTACTTATAGGTTTTCAATAACAAGAATTCATTTTTTTTTCAGATAAAAAAAATTGAACTTTTCTTTCGTAGATGCTAAAGGAATATCCTCGAACCTCGATTCCTCTGTTGTGTCTTTTTCAGGAAGAAGAAGCAATTAGGAATTCAGTAGGTTCAGACCTACTGTTTGTTGCAGGATCTACCAAGCTAGCGGCGAAGATTAGATCTTCCCGGCAAAATGTAGCAAATAAGATTGAAATAAGCATAAGGTTCGTTTGTGGATTGTTGTATTAATGCTATAATTGATGAGATCCCTTGGATCCCATGACTTGACCCTTCTCATCATTCTTGAATAGTGATGGAATCGGGGGTTTCGTAAGACCCTGCACTGAGGATGTTAAGGTAGATTTTGAGTCTCAGGAGGATTGTGCCATGTATGATCTCAAAACATGTCCTATTGTCCATTCCTTTCCTTAATTCAAATTCATGTTTCAACTTTTCCAACTTGATGTTATTGTATTCTGCAGATGTGCTTATTATGAGCTGCCAGGTGGTGGTAAACGTATTCCTGGTTTACTTCATGGCCTGAACCTACCGGAAAAGGTAAGAAATAGCAGACGTTATCTGGTTTAACAGAAGTTGGCACTTTTGCGATTAATTTTTATGAAATTATGCAGACAATCTCTGGTGATGATATTATGGAAACCGCACTCTGGCATGAACGGTATTACCTCTTCTTTTGCCATCTTCCTCCCTTTCGTTTTAATCCTCTCGGAAGGGTAAGGAAATTAGGAATCGGGTAGGAAATAGTTGTATGTATATAATTTTGAGGAGCTTGAAAATGCAGGTCCCAATATGAAAGCAAGTTTAGAAATGCCAACAATTACCATAATACATGGAAAACTAACGAAGGTGGTAGCAGCAGAAACGCAAACAGCAATTACAATAATACATGGAAAACTAACGAACGAAGTAGAAGCAGCTTTGGATCCTCCTCATATGGTAGCGTCATTTACAAAGGTGGAGGTGTTGGATGGAGTTCAGGTTCAGGTAGGGGCACTCCCAGTGCTGACGTGGGACTTGATCGGAAAATGCAGTCACTGGTAGTATCACATCCCCAATCCAATCAAACCCCCAGTCGTAGTTCTGGAACAGTGTCGTTTCCGGCATCCAGCAGAAACAGTTCCGCGTATCAGTTCAGCAGTAATAGCAGTAATCATGGGTTTCAAGCTGACGCGAAACCTTTTGTTTGGGGTCGAGGCAGAGGCTCTCATGCCTCCGATCGTGTAAATTCCTGGAGGAAATCTTGAAATGGATTTCCTAATCAAACATGAAAATCTCGGGGGTAAAAGTTGAAATGTTGTTTCAGGTTTCTCTACGCAAATGACTGCCTTTTTGACTTAACTGTTGCTCTTATATGAAAACTTTGCTCTTGCTGGACTGAAAGCTGAAAAGAATGGTCCCCGCTTGATTTAAAGAAGCGTTCTGGTATATTTAAAAAGGAAGTTTAAACAAAGTTTAGATAAGACCCAGTTTAGATTCCATAAGTAGAACAAGTAGTTTATTCAGAACCACGAAGATTCATGGCCGATACAGACTTGTTAACTCACATACGAATGCGGGGACGATATGATCATCGAACTTGGCTCGGATTATAGCTATTGCGTCACCGGACTTTTTGGGGATCATGAACATTGTTCCTTCACATATTGATGTGAGTGTGACCTCAGTTTGAGTTCTTTAGTTTAATTCGGGGAAAAAAATCCACGACGGCAATACATGTATGGTATAACAGATTAAGAAGCATTAATTAAACCTTAAAACTTAGTTTCTCCTATGAATTTTCTGAAGACCGAAGTTATTACTTCTGCGTTTGGATATTTGAATCTCTCTCTTAATCTCGACGGGTAAAAATTTACATTTTTGAGTGACGTCAAGAAAGCAGATCAATATTTCGATTGGAGCTTACGTTGAAATGATAAGCGTACACTTGGGGGGGTGGAGAATTGATAATAGACAGGATGAAGACAGCGATTGGCAAAAGAAATAGAAAGAAAATGCATAAAAGGCACCTAGAAAATGATATGTTCCGTGGGTTAAACGTCAACTCTTCCAGGAGTCTTGTGATCGTTTCCCACATGTTAATATATATCTGAGACAAAAACACAAAGCCAGAGTGTCCAGTAATCTCAGTAATCTCAGTCATCTCAGTTAATGAGTAGGAATAATAAAAGGAACCTGCTGAGAAGCATTTTCAGAGCAAATGGAGGGTGTGGCAATTGTGGCAACCCGAAGCCCTTTGACATATACGACCCCACACCTAAGCCTAAAATCTGCTGCCATCCAAATCCAGATCCTCCGACCACCGTAACTTCATCGGCATCCATTCCCCAGTCGGTCTCGGCGGAGGATTCCATGAGCGGGAAACTGAGCGGCAGCGTCGTGGTGGAGATGAAGTCGGAAAACCCATATAATGACTTCAAGGACTCCATCATCCAAATGATAATGGAGAGAGAGATTTACTCAGCGAGTGAGGTGGGAGAGCTTCTCCAGTGGTTTCTTAAGCTCAATTTGCCATGTCATCACCAACTCATCCTCAGGGCTTTCGCCGATATCTGCCAACAGGCTTCGCCTCCCTCATGACTCCGCCATGCTCCTGTCAACCAACAAGCTCCATCAAAACGTTCATCTGTCTCGTGAATCGCCTCCTCCACATCATCATCCCCTCTCCATCGATTATTTCAACATTATGTACTGTTGGATATATGTGTTGGGTGACAAAACAATAAAATCATTTTTACTTCTTTTTTTCTTTTCCTGGAGATATCTACGCGAGTACCCTTTTTAAACTTTGATCATGCGCTATTCAACACTGACAGAGAAGCCACAACTTGAAATTAGGGCGACAATTAATGGAGTTTGTCTTCGCCAAAAGCAATGGGTGATGTTAAGAGAAATTAAAGAGCTTCCAATTACTGTAAATAGATTTCTTATCTCAGAGCTTGTATCCTTGTACTTGACTTGTTCCGGCGGTGTGCTATGGATTTACGCCGAACATGGTTTGGTTTGTGCGTAAACCTTCAGCTTGTCAAAATAAATAAATAAATAATCTGCATGACGAAAGATAACAGGAGCATTGCATATATAAAGATTTATAATTAAGCGAATCTGCCAGCTGTCAATATACTACGTCATTGTTGGTACTAAATCGTTTTTCCTACTTTGAATCGCTCACTTTATTGGTGCACACCATGCATTAATTTATTTACACGTCCATCCAATTTTTTATTATTTTTTAAATGAGAAAAAAAATCATTTTTAAGAGAGTTTTTCCTTCCCCATTGATGTTGACAACATTCAAACATAAAAGGGAGGCATGATTTCTCCAAAGTCGTTATTATGAACTTTTTCGCATTAATTTTTGTTGCGAAACGACCATATGCTACCCTTATGCAAAAGAAGGGGAAAAAAACTGCATCCAAATGAAAATCTACTTGTAGATTATCAAAATCACTTCTCTCTCACTTTTTGGGTGTTTGGAAAATACAAAATTAGTTAAGCTGACACAAAATCATAAAATTCATAAGCCTCCAAGCTCATAAAATCCTGAAATTCTAAAATTTGAGACCTGAAATAATCATGAACCTTAAAATGCATAATCTCTAAAGCCTAGATCCTATAAAACTAAACATTTATTTTGAAAACTACTACCTCCAGTCATAATTATAAGAACTAGTTGACTAATTTGAGGAGATTAAAAAAAAAAGTTAAGTTAGTTATTTGTAATAAATATGTGTTATCTTTCCTAAAATATCCTTACTAATCAAGTATAGTGGCTAGAACTGTTATTGTTAGAAGGATTACGTTAAAAAAATACATAAATATGATAGAAAAAGTGGATTGTGGTTTTATATTTAGGATCAAAATAAAAGTCAAATATGATCTTATATTAAGGATTAAAAGTAGTATAATGATAACCTAATTAGGCCCTAACATGTTCAAATCCAAAAATAGTCTGAAATCCTTTTTATCTTATGCCCCTTAGAGAGCAGATTCGTCTTCAAAGATCAGGATGACTGAAAGTTGTCTTCTGCCCTAAAAGGCTAAAACCAAATAAATAGGAAATTAGATATCTCTTCAAAAAGTAGTTGGGACGTCTTCCTCCATTCTCTCTATGCAAAATTCATAGCTTGTGCTGGGAAAATGGCGCTCGTGCTTGCTGGGAAAACACCGTTGATTCCACCGTCTCAGGAAGAGGATGACTTGCTGGTGCGAAGTTCGAAGAAGATCAAGAATGGGCCCAAAGATAGTAGTGACAATATCCTCAGGGGCCACTGGCCAAAGGCGGGGTCGAAGAGTTCTGAATATAATATTGGAGGGCCCTTGTTTGCAGAAAAGCTGAAAGGTGTAGATAAAAACAATGATCATTCTGATGATGACATTGAGAATGCGGACGAGGAAGATTCAGACGATTCTATGTCTGAAGGTTCTCAACAAGCTATGGAACAGGAGAAGGATGAACCATTATGCAGAACAATAGAGGATCCTAACAGGAACTTCCCTACATTTTCTTTTTCTGGGAAAATGAAGAAAAAGTTGTACAGAGCTTGGAGGAAGGCAGTGGTAGTTAAGCTCTTAGACAGGTCTATTGGTTATAAAGCTCTCCAGTCACGTCTGCAATCCTTGTGGGCAAAAAGAGGTGTCATTAACCTCATTAATATTGGTTATGGCTTCTTTGTTGTGAAGTTATCAAATCGAGAAGATTATTTTAATGCACTTACAGGAGGCCCCTGGATGATCTATGATCATTATCTAACTGTGAGACCATAGGAACCAAGGTTCCAACCAGCTAGAGCAACCATAGACAAGGTAGCAGTTTGGGTCAGGATGCCAAGGGTGTTCTTAGAATACTATGATGAGGAGGCCTTAACAATTATTGGTAATCGAATTGGAGAAACTATTAAGTGGATATGAATACCTCTTGTCAGCTAAGAGGTCATTATGCTCGTATTTGTGTTCTAGTTGATTTGGGGGAGCAGTTAATGTCGGGATTTTCATTAGATGGAGAGGAGTATTACCTTGAGTATGAGGGGCTCCATATGCTCTGCTCAAATTGTGGTATTTATGGGCATAGAAGTGAAGTTTGTCCAAAAAGAGAGAAAAAACAAAGAGCAGAAGGAAATCCAAATCCAAGGGCAACACAAATGAATCCAAAAGAGCAGGAAGGTGTGGTTATTCATGAAAGAAAAATTACTCAAGACCAGTGGCGGGTGGTTCAGAAACCTCGCCGGCAAAGAAGAGTGAAAGAGAACAGGGGAGAAGCTAACCGGTCGGAAAAGGCCGGTTCTAGATTCGGCGTTCTGGATGACGTGGAAGAGCAATGGCATGAGGCAGAGCATAACGAGAACGTACGGGATGAGGTTGTGTATTCCGTACCTGAGACACAGAAATGGGCACAACGCACTAATGCTGTACGAGCTTCAAATGGAAAGAAAAAAAGCATAGGGAGAAGACAACAGGAAAGAGAAAATGTTGAGGGAGCGGCAACATGGGAAGCAAACGAGAAGTTAAAGGAGCAAGTGATTTCGAGGGAGACAAATGAGAAATTAAAGGAGATGGAGGTAAGTAGAAAGTGTGAGAAGAGGACAAGGGAGATGTTAGGGCGTGAAATGAGAAGCAATGAAATTCTGATGATCACTATGGAAGAATGTAACGAAAAGACAAATGAGGGGAAGAATATACCGGAGGGTGAATTAGTGGAACGTGAGGTTGTGAACATGATGGATTTGGGCCCAGGAGACAAAGCCCAACGTCCAAAGTCCTTCACTAATTTGGATGGGATTAGGATTGAGGAGGTGGACCCAGGTGATCCTAGTATTAGGCCTCCTTTTAACAATCCAACGAGCTTGATGCAAGAGGATGACTATGTCGAGAGTACGATGGTACCTGAGACCCAATTCTCTAATGGGTTTTAATTGGGCTGCTCTATTTCAAACTATTCATTTGTTTTATATGGATAGTCTCTTATATTGGAACACAAGGGGAGCCTGTAGTAAGGGGCTTCTCAGAAATCTTAAAGCTGTGTGTGAAGGGCCCAAGCCCATTTTAATAATTTTGGCAGAAACAAGGTGTGAAGATCAAACAAAATTTCGCCCCTTCATGCTCTTGGATTTGATTCGATCAAAGTGATTCCAAGTATTGGAAGATCTGGGGGAATTGTAGCAGCATGGAAGAGTAACAATATTCAGATTAATGTTTTGGTTGAGAATCAACAATTTTTCCATTTGGATTGTGAGATACCAGGTAAATCTTCTTTTTTCCTCACTGCCATCTACGCCATTCCTCATTCAAATAATAGACAGCTACTGGAATTCCTTGCGGCATTTTTCTTCGGCAATCTCAAAGCCTTGGGTGGTTTATGGTGACTTTAATGATATTTTGCATGCTTCAGAACGGATTGGAGGAGTGGGTGCAACTTTAGTCGAATTAATTGGTTTCAAGATAGAGTTCGAGAATGTGGGTTATCTGATTTGGGGTTCAATGGACCACATTTTACTTGGAAAGGACTGAAGATTTTGGGTGTTCTCGTCTATAAACGTCTAGACAGAGCTTTTGTGAATGATGAGTTTCTGCTTCGAATTCCAGAAGGTATTTTAAAGGTTCTTCCCAGAACTCTCTTCTCGGATCATAATCCTTTGGTTTTATGTCTTCCTACTCAAAGTAATGTTAATAGAGGCATAAAGCCTTTCCGCTTTGAAGCAATGTGGCTTCAACACGAGAACTTTAAAGATTTTCTGTGTGAAGCCTGGAAAAATAATGGCATTATCTCTAAGTCGTTAGCTAATTTAAAGAATGATCTTTTGGATTGGAATAGAAGCACTTTTGGTTTTGTTGAACAGAAGAAGAGAACAATTTTGAGTAGGTTGAAAGGAATCCAGAACTCCTCGCCCTATCCTTTTTCTCTCTTTCTGCGTAACCTGGAAAAAGAGTTACAGTCTGATTTAGAACAATTATTGAAAGTGGAAGAGATCAAATGGTTTCAAAAAGCCAGGACTGAGTGGATTACACGAGGTGATAGGAACACTAAATACTACCATCTCAGGACTAAGTTAAGAAGAAGGAGGAACAAGATCATGACATTGAAGGATGACCAGAATCGGTGGATTGAAGATGAAGTTGAAGTTAAGGCTCTGGTTCTTAATTATTTTAAAAATCTTTATATTTGTGAGGAGCAATCTTCTTGTGTTCTATTTACGAGGACTAGTTTCCCCTTGATAGATAGATCCACCTTGTTTGATATGAGCAGAGCACCTTCCGTTGAGGAAGTCAAAAGTGCGTTATTTTCCATGGGCCCTTATAAAGCACCAGGAGTAGATGGTTTCTCTCCTATCTTTTATCAGTCCAACTGGAGTATTGTAGGAGCAAAGCTATGCGATTTTGTTAGAGAAGCTTTTCTTACCAAAAATGTGGAGGTGGAAGATAACAGAACGCTTATTTCTTTGATTCCTAAGAATGAGAATCCTCAGTTGGTGGGTCATTTCAGACCTATTTCCCTTTGTACGGTGCACTATAAATGCATAACAAAGATTATTGCTATTAGATTGAGGTCTGTCATGGATAACATTATTTCTCCTTATCAAACTAGTTTTATTAAAGGGAGAAATATTCAAGATAACATCATTGTGGGGCAAGAGATTATGCATATCATGAAGAAATCAAAGGGCAAAAAAGGTTTGATGGCTTTGAAGATTGATTTGGAGAAGGCGTATGATAGGATTAGATGGGATTTCTTGCAGCAAGTTTTATTAGAAGTAGGATTTGATGATGGGTTTGTTAATTTAATTAAAGCCTGTGTCTTTTTTGTTACTTATAATGTGCTATGGAATGGATCTCAAACTGAGTATTTTTCTCCAATGAGGGGACTCCGGCAAGGGGACCCTATTTCTCCCTTACTGTTTGTTTTGTGCATAGATAAGCTCTCGCACTTGATCTGTGATGCAGTTAAAGATGGTAGTTGGAAACCAGTGAGAGTGGCAAAAGAAGGACCGTCTATTTCTCATTTAATGTTCGCCGATGATATTTTGCTTTTTGGAGCTGCAACGGAACAACAAGCTTTATGTATGATGAGTTGTTTGAATAAATTTTGTTTGGCTTCTGGGGAGAAAATTAGCAAAAGTAAGTCTACTATTTTCTTCTCACCAAGAGTTCCAGCTAGGACTAAGCAGAGAATTAAAGAGATTACTGGGATGAATATTTCTACAAAAATTGGAAAATATCTGGGGTTTCCAATCACTAGATTGAGGAAACCGACAGATACTTTTCAGTTTATTATTGATAGAGTGAAGTCAAAACTTGCTGGTTGGAAAGAAAATTGCCTTTTGATGGCTGGACGCATCACTCTTGCCAAGTCGGTACTCAGTGCTATTCCTTTATACCCTATGCAAGTGTCAAAAATTCCTATAGCTGTATGTCATGAAGTGGAAAGATTGCAAAGGAAGTTTATATGGGGACATAGTCAGAGTCTACATGGTTTTCATCCTATTAGATGGGATCAAATGGTGTTGCCAAAACTCTATGGAGGACTGGGTTTCAAGCGATTGACTACTGTTAATCAGGTTTGCGGGGCCAAATTAGCATGGAAGCTGGTGACTGGTGCAAAAGGTCTTTGGGTTGAGGTTTTGCTTCATAAGTACATGTTGCGCAGTGAGGATAATCTCTTAGAGGTTCATCCGAGTGACTCTTGTTTGTGGAAATTTATAGCACAGCAGCGTCATATTGTTGATATGGGTATGAAGTGGAGTATTCGAAATGGCCATTCTATGCAATTTCTTTAATGATTGCTGGCTTTTTCCTAACAGAAAAGTTAAGGATTTGTGCCTTCGTCCTTTAACGGAAGAAGAAAATAATAGCAAAGTTGCAGATTGGGTATCTTATGGAGCCTGGGATTTTCAGAGATTATCAAATCTAGTTCCAAATTGTGTGTTTCAACGCCTTATTACAACGTTACCTCCTTTGGAAGGGGCGGGGGATGATATTCTATCCTGGAATGCTACTGTTGATGGGGCATTTACTCTAAAAAGTGCTTATTACATGGTTGAAAAAAATCCTCCAAATACTTATAGTTTTGTTTACAAGGCTATATGGAAATGGAGGGGAGCTGAGCGCATACGCGTTTTTATATGGATCGCCTTCAATAATAAACTACCCACAAATGCCTGGCGAAGCAAATGGTCTGCAACACAGGATATTTGTCCTTGCTGTAATTTTGGGTCAGAAGATGTGTTACACATCTTAAGAGATTGTGAATATGCTAGTGGCTTGTGGAAACATTTAGTTCATCCCAAGTATCACTCTGCTTTTTTTGCTACACACCTGCGTGACTGGTTTGCTCTGAACCTTAAGAGGGACCTCGGTAATATTTCTAATGGTAACTGGAACTTATTATGGGGAGTGAGTATTTGGAAGCTGTGGTTGTGGAGAAATAATAGTATCTTTAATGATAATTTTATAAAACCTTCAAATCCAACAGCTGTAATTATGCAGACTTGGCGACACTTTGTGCAAATACAAGAGATGAATTTGGCCCTAAACCAATCACGGGGACAAGTGCCAGCTTGGCAACCACCTCCTATTGGGTGGTTTAAATTGAATGTAGACGGTGCAATGGCTATGTCAAAGAAAATGGCAAGGTGTGGTGGAGTGGTTAGAGATCACATGGGCAATTGGGTGGTTGGTTTTTCTCATTATCTTGCCACAAGTTCGGCACAAGAGGCTGAGGAGTGGGCTATCTATAGAGGTCTCCAACTTGCTTGGGACTGTGGATTCAAGAAAATAATCATTGAGTCAGATGCTAGAAATATTGTGGATCTCTTAAAGAACAGCACGATTAATTCAAGAGGTAGTCTTCTCACTATGCAGATTTCAAGTCTTATGAGACTGGATTGGAGTTTAGAGTTGAAAGCTATTCCAAGGGAGCAAAACCAGCTTGCGGATGCACTTGCCAAAGAGGGTCTCTCTAGATCTTCATTTTTTGGTTCTTATCCACCGAATTTACTAGATTTAGTGGCTAGCGAAAGAGTGGGATCTGATTCCCCCATGAGTTGATCTTTTTTGGTTTTGGACATTTTGTCCTCTCTTGTATCTAAAAAAAATAGTTAACTGGTTTTTATAATTAAGACTAAGACTGGACGTAGTATAACGAAAATGAAACAAAAAGAGGTTTTATGTAAATAATACCGCTCCACATTTGTTATAGAAAATCATACAAACGTCAAAGGAGGATGAGATAATTTTGGTATGTGACGCGGCTCTCCCACCTTCACCAACATGGGAACGGTTGCGATGGCGGTTTCGCAATTATGGGCAAATGTGGGAGCCGTCGTGCTCGAAATTAGAGGGTGCGGCCACAACAACCAAATCGAACCAGAAGCGGCATCGGAGCCGCCGAGTCGGAAACTAAAAGGAAGCCCTCGGCTGAACCGCTGGTCGAGAGCTCGAGCGCTTCGCTCCGGTCGCAAATTAGACCGCCCTACTCCCCAAATTCAGACCGTCCAATCCGATGCTTCTCTACCTCCCATCACTCTGTCTCCTGATACAGATGCGTCTGATATCGACGTTGTGGAGGGCGTGGAGGTGAGGGTGTCCAAGTCCATTTATATAGTCTCCGACGGAACTGGTTGGACGGCCGAGCACTGCGTTAACGCTGCCTTGGGTCAGTTTGATTACTGCTTGGTCGATCATGGATGCCCTCTCAGTACCCACTTGTTTTCTGGGGTAATTTGTCCTTCACTTCTCCTTTGCTACGTATTTTCTTCAATCTTGAGTTCCAAACACGATTAATTTCTGTTTGGGGTTTGTGGTAACATTTCATAGGCCGTACTAAATAGTTGGGAGTAAGCTAATTTACCCCCCTTTTGGGTTACGTGTTGCATTTCTAATATCACATTCTGTGAATGCGAAAGTGTGTCATCTAGTCAATGAGCAAGTCTCAAGTAAATCTTTTTGGCTTTGTTTTTTAAGTAGTTTTCTTGGGAGGGTGGGGGTGTGAATTTTGGTTTATAAAATGAAAGTTAGATCCCCCCCCCCCGGGGCGGGTAGCCGTCTCGTACGCAATTGCAATTGTTGTCCAACGGGCAACAGTAATGTGATTGGTGGTAGGTTGAGCGTGCCCTGCAAAGTGACAACCAAAAAAACTAGAAGTAAACTGGACACCTTCTAAGTTGGTTCCCTGTACCTTGCATTATATGTCTAACTTAGTGCACACCTAGACAAGAATTTAACTGCTAACGTGAGTTATTCAAGGCAGAGGAAGCGGGGGGAAATGAAAATAATACCATAACTAGGTTAATGTATGTTGACGCGTTGCGCTGATTTTACTCAATTATTGTCAGATTGATGATGCGGAGAAATTAGTGGAGATCTTAAAGCAGGCAGCCAAGGAAGATGCTTTGGTTGTGTATACTTTAGCTGACCCTTCGATGGCTGCATACGCTAAGCAGGCTTGCAAGTTATGGGGTGTACGATCCACTGACGTATTAGGTCCAATAATTGAGGAAATTTCTTCTCATCTTGGGGTCTCACCATCTGGGCTTCCCCGTGGGGCTTCTGGCCGGAAGCTTCCACTTTCTGATGAATACTTTCGCCGTATTGAAGCTGTTGAATTCACCATCAAGCAAGATGATGGGGCATGTCCCCAGAATTTGGCCAAGGCTGACATTATTCTTACTGGTGTTTCGCGGACTGGCAAGACGCCATTATCAATTTATCTAGCACAAAAAGGTTACAAAGTGGCAAATGTACCCATTGTGATGGGTGTGGAAATGCCAAAGACTCTTTTTAAGGTGGATGTAAACAAGGTTTTTGGCTTAACTATAAACCCCGTAGTCCTGCAGAACATAAGAAAAGCAAGGGCTAGAACTCTGGGATTCAGTCCAGAATCAAGGAGCAATTACTCAGAGATGGATTATGTTAGACAGGAACTGGAATTTGCGGGAAGACTCTTTGCTGAGAACCCTGTCTGGCCAGTGATTGGTAAGAAATCTAGTGCCATCATGTTCCCATTTCTGTGCCTTTTCACTCTTTATATGTTCCTATGAATTTTTATTTGTAAAATATCATAATTACACAATAGTAATTATTGTGATTTTTTTTCTTATTTCTTTCAATTAGTCTCTAACAGAACCGTAATCTGTTGCTCCAACTTCAGATGTGACGGGAAAAGCAATAGAAGAAACTGCAGCGGTTATATTGAGGCTCTACCATGACCGGAAGCAAAAGTTCATGATGCCAAGGATCTCAAAACGCTATTAAAGGTGACAATTTTGTTTGCCTGATGTTAAACCACTAGTTGTGAAGTCTCGAATTGTATATTGTGTAATGTATACTTATATAATGCGAATTTCATTATTTCATATCAGTGTATATTAGAGGAGGGTAAAATGTTACCGTCAATTTTAAAGTTTTGGTCCACAAATGCTTGCTCTTACAAAGAATGCTTATTAATCTGCCACGTCAAAAGTTGAATAGTATCTTAATAGGCCCAGAAACCGAGCATATACCTAAAAGGTGTTTGCTTTGATGAACCTGGTGGGAACTGTGAAACTGCAAATCCATACATTAGTGAATGTTGGTGGCATTTCTTCATCAGCGGAAATTCTCATGGATTTAATCGATAGTGGGAAATGCGCTTTTGTTAACCTTCAAGCTGAAGGAAGTGCTATTATATCAAATCAATTAAAGATTTCTCAATGGCTTCATATACTAACTGTTAAAACATCAGCATAAGCAAGCTTCTAAGTGGATGTAATTTTGGACATCGATTGTCTTTATTATGGCCCATCTTATTGGCAGTACCTGTCAAATTATATCGTGAGGTTTTTGAATAACCTCTTACGAATTCTTGATCAGTAGTGTCTAGTGCACGCAGGGTTGGTAGTATTCCGTACCTAACACTTCGCATCTGAAATTGCTCAAAGTAACTCTGATCTTTCATACCTAACCTATGACAGTACTGAAAGCGTCCATAGACAAAAGAACATTCTTTGTCCCGGGAAAGGCAATCGTGGACTGCCCTACTTCTTACAAAAAGTTAATAGCTCCCGAACACGCGCGTTCATGCCTCCTGTCTACGCAAACACCTGATTATGGCTGTCACAAACATAATTTGGTTCTCAACTCTTTTGTTTATTTGCTCACATGAAAGTTACAAGCTCAAAATTGCACCTACGATTAGGATTGCATGTAAGAACCAAATACAAAAGAACAGAACAGCATGATCCAAGGAAGGAAAAAGCAAGGCTAAATAAAGTGGCCAGGGAGAGGAGAACAGTGACACTCTAATCCTTCACTGAGCCGTGCAATACTAAAAAACACGACATATTTCTAAGTGGATTCTGTTTCACGTCTTCTGTTGTTTCCCATTCCTCTAAGTGGAAGTGAGTATGACTTTGCAATGACATCATGAATTCGCCAAAGAGTTGAATCCCTAAGTAACTGATTTTGACGTCAAGAAGGTTGTAGAAATTTCATCGGCTTATAAACGCCAGCAGTTCTATCTTCGGTGAACTGATTTCCTCTTCTTCCTTAAGCTGCAATTCTTCTGCAAGAAAATTTTTAGATACACATAATGTATCATTTGGCTGTAGAATGAAGCAACGAAAACCTGTTAAACCGAGTGTTCAGGGAGGCAATGAGTTCCACTATCACTGAAGCACCCGTTTTGATTTGTTTTTATTGGCTCCTAGTACTGGCTGGTTGTTAACTAGGACTTCTGAGAATTTCTATCCTTCCGTGAAACTTGTATTGTAAATGTTCAATCCTTGGTTTCTAACTTATATATCTTCACTTCAGATGCATGGTCCTCCGGTTATCTCATTGCTGCCAATCAACCCCATTTTCATCACTTTGCTTGCCGATTGCAAGGGTGAAGTATATCAACAACATAGTTCCCATGCTTGACCTGTGTTAAAAGCAGAACCAGACATTAGGAATTGAAGGGAATATAACAGACGAGGCCATGAATGGAGCTGTATCATATATATCTTACAAGGTGGCGAAGAACAGAAGAACCCTCCTAGGATCGAGGATCCGGAAAGAAGGCCTCTTGAAACTGTTTCGCCGGGATACTCCTTTGCTTTCAATGGCCGTGGCGGCTGCGGCGGTGGTACTGATATTGCTGGTTGTGATGGTAATCTGATGATGGACCTGTGAATTGGTGGAGTGATCAGTGGACCCTACGGTCACCATCCCGGGCTTTTCAGGCGTGCAAGACCCCATCAGAGTAGCTGCAGATCAATGATACCGTACCCCAACATTAATGCAACAAATTTGTTGGTTCGCAAGCTTGTTCAAGTCTCTGCCATAGCCAATTCTCGTGGCCCCACTCAGGGGTATTATCATGGTACAAATACACCCTTATAATCTGTACCCCTACCAAACTAGGAGGATTTACTTGGGAATATTAGGGAAAGTCTCCCATTAAAGTGGGAAGAACCTAAATGATACTACATGTATATAAAAGTTGCAAAGTATTAGGTTCTTTTCCCCAATATAATTTGAGTCTAGTATAAGAGATTCATCAAGATTACAGTAAGACTCAAAGCGTTTACTGAAGTATTTCCATATTATTCATTAATAAGATTCTTATTTCCAAAAAATCTCGTATCTTTACCAGAGATGGGTCAACTTCTTGTTAACAGATCAGTTTTCAAATATACTTATCAAAGGATTTGTTGGCATTTCCTGTTTTGCTATGAGTGATTTTCAAATAAATTTAATTTATTAGAAAAGGGGTAATAAGATAGTTCCACTGTGAAAGGTAGGTTTCGTGTTGGTTGGACGCTTCAACTAATTTTCCCATCACTTGAATACCGAGGTGGTTGGTTTTACATCAAATCAGTTTCTTCCACGCTATGGTAACAAGTAAATCTTACTTAATAAAGTGGTAAAAGGGGTTGATGCACAAATCATCTTTTAAGTACAAACAAGTTAATGAAAATTCTTATTTATGAATAGATGAGTATATGATTACCAACCATGTTTGAATGTCGTTTCCTAGAACCATGGTGGATCTGGGATTATGGCTTATAATAATAATAATTATAAGTATAATAATAAGATCAGAATCATTAACATTAACAACAAGATGAGACCTGACACTAAGGAGACACCACCATGGGGCTGACACACAATTACAGGTTGGTGATGGAAAATATTAATATTAATATTTACTAATATTTAATTTATTATTATTACACATCACCGTACACGGACCTAAGCTAAGGTATGGTGATATTATAATTTTATGGCCATCTACAAGATGCGATTTCGTCTTTTTAAAAAAAAAGGAAGAAAACAATAAATGATTTTGCGTATATTTTTGTAAAGGGCAGTGGTACCTTTAGGTGAGCCTGTTGTAGGGACACTATCCCTATCATGAAGGGCAGCACTGCCATTGATCTTCTTGTCGCCCCCACGCTGAGATCCTTTCCTGGAAAGGTTCCTCTGCAACTATTTTTTGCTTTTTTAAAATAAAGACAAATTTTTTCTAAACTAATAGTGGCCCTGGCCAAAAAGATCTAAACTGGAACCAAGTTCAACCTATTAGGTGTCTGGTTAAATTATGAAACTTAAAGTAATTGCCTTTGTTATTTTTTTTCCCCCACAAGAACACATAAGAGAATAACAATTAATTGCTTTGGATATTGAAAAATGCTACAGTGGCCGAAAAAGTACAGTAAGGGGCATGTTGGGGAGGGGTTAAGTAGGAGTTACACAAAGTGAAAGACGGTTTAATTAATTAAAAGGCTGCTCTAATTTCAACGTTTCATTAATTTTAAATTGAGAAAAGGGATAGAGTCTGAAGAGAGAGTAATAAAGCTTGAGAAAGACATTCTGTTGCAATGGCCGTAAACTTTAATGGAAGTTGATGACAAGCTGAAAGCAACGCCGTGTTATCTGAGCCAAGTTTTAATTTATGGTGAAGAATTAAGAAATTATTTTTTCATTAAAAAAAAACTTGGGATTGACAGTTTCAAATTATAGATAGTAATGGATAGATTCGAAGGAAAAAGTGGTAAAGTATGAATTAAATTAATCGAAAGAAGAAAAAAGCTTACTGTAATTCTGGAATTGGGATGGTTATCTTTATTGATGGCGGAAGGGAAGGCGTCCATGTCAATCACAAAGTTATCAGATTTCTCGGGTGTGTATTGAAAGGCGTCCATGTGATCTGAAACTGAGATTTTCTGGTTCGCCCTGTTCTGTTCTGAGGACGAAGAACCTGAGTCCTGAAAAAAGCAGAGTTATGAAGGATCTGTGAGTGGAAATTATGAGGATGATGAAGAATGACCCAGAAATTCAATGGAACAGTTTTGGCGATGAAAATTGAGAGATAACCCAGAAAACGAACACTCACCAACTTTGGAATTTCCGCCATTTCCGTCGCTTTCAAAGGAGGAAACTGAAAAAACCGAAGTCAGAACGAAGGAACAAGTACCGAAAAGGATCAACCACAGCCACCTGAAAGATAACCCAGAAAATTCTTCGTTCTTCTGGAAAACCCTTCCCCACTTACAGAAGATAAGGTCTTCGTCTTCAAAAGTAGCTGGGTCTCCTCTGCTTTATGTTTCAGAAGCTGGCTTCAACGAGAAACACGGTGTGAAGCTTGTTTGTTTGCCGAGAAAATTGTATAATCGAGGGCGAACTGACATATACCTACTCTGTTTCTGGTGGGATTAACCAGGATGATTTTTCTTGGGAGGATGAACCGATACGAAAAGAAACTATGAGCAAGTTGAAGGAGGAAGATGACGAAGAAAGAGCAGGAGTGAGGGTTGGAAATTTCAGCCGGTCGTCATATGGCCTATATATATACGCGCCCACACACATGTATAATACATACGTACATACTCTGTGTGTGTGTGTGTGTGAGAGAGAGAGAGGAAAAAATTGATATTGATATGGTGGAATTGTTGAGGTTTGTCCCCGTGAAGTTAACGTTTAGCAGATGCTCACGTCTCCGGAGTATGTTTTAAGGTGATTGACTGACGAAAGTCACCAGTTAATCCCTTCGTCGTTATCCTTAACCCCTACTTCCACCCGCCGTTTCTATTTTCACAAATAGAATGAGATATAATAAAGTAATAAAGGAATAAATTAATAAAGTTGAAAAAAATGAAATTCATATTTGCAACTCTTAAATAAAAATAAATAAATATTTTATTTAATATTTTTTATCTTCTTTAAGAGTAATTTTAAAATTCATTTCTTATTGATGCCACTCTGACTATTTCAAATAACGGGTTCAGGTGTGGGTAAACGTCAATGATTTTGAAAAAAAGAAAAACTAGTAAATTTAATCTAGAAAAATATATTCTTTCATTCCGAAAGCTTTCGGGTCAGCTTGGGTCAGCGTTTTTGTATAATTTTCATTATGAAATTAGTCATTATAATTATTATGAGCTTTGATAAAAATTCTTGACAATATTGTTGTTACTAATGTGATGCAGTAAAAGTGTTTGGTAGTGGAAGTAATTTTAATTCAAGATAACCAAAAATTGATTTCTTGATTAAAAAATTACATAAGCTTGAACCAAATTGATAACGATTATGGGGACAAAAAATTATATTTTCCCCTTTAATCTAATTTAACATATTATCACAAAATTTGACAGAACAATAACAGCTATATGATAATTTATATATTATAATATTGAAATTTTAGTTTACTTTTTACGCCATTTGATAATGATAATTTCGATAACAAAAACAAGAAAAAGCTATTTGAAATTTTCAGGAAAATAAATGAATAATACCACAAAGCCTTTGCATCAACTGATAAGAAATCATTCCTGCTTAATTAACAAGCAGTTTTGTGTGCAAGTTTTGAGTATGCAGCCACAATAATTATTTAGAGGTAGTAAGGCACCCCATTTGCTCGAATGACTGATAATGGAATTCAAAATCAATATAATAAAAGTAATAATAACAACAGGTGTTTTTTCGAAAATCAAGTATCCTGATGGAAACATTGCGAATTGATAATATATGTCGTACCTAATAATTCAGCAATAATATAACATCACGCAAGGATGACAAAGAAGCAAGTTTTGGTCAACGATTTGACAGCAAAGGTGGGGATTATCCATTTCCATTAACCCTTTATTATTTTACACTAAATACGCCAATGATGGTGCCCATTAATAATATCAACTTATATAAAAAGCAGAAAATAGGAGAAATTACATTTAATAGACATCGTCAAAAATGGGAGGTTACATATTTATATGTGACGCCTCCTTTATTTGTGGTACATAAAATGAAATAAATAGCTAAGTATATTTAGTGAAGACGTCAAGTAAGTATCACGAGGAACTACAGACTTTTCCACCCAAATCTTAATCGTTACTTCTCACAATCTTATATCCCTATTTTCCCTTTATTTCTGTGTTTTTGATATGCGTTTATATGAAAAATCAGAAAATGACACCGCAATATATATATATATATATATATATAAACACACTTATGTAGCTTGTTGAATTCCATTTAATTATAAACAATAAATAACATAATTTCTTAATCCTATTATATAACTGCTAATTAAGTTTAAGAGATTATTCTTTTCTTGCCGCTTGCCCCTTAGTTAAATCATTTTTTGAAATTATCTATGAGAACGATTCCTGAGAGAACAAAGGCACTCTGAGAATTGCCTATTTTTGGTCAATGCCATCAAAAAGAATTTTATATATATATATATATATATATATAATTGATACACTTTTTGTTAGTATAGTACGTAGGATAGCATTTGATAGATGTGCAGATCATAAAGAAATAATAGAAATGCGTAGGCTTAAGCTTTTCAGAAAACAGCAGATGCAGACCCCACCATCTTCTGAAATGTGCATACTTTTAACAGTGTGAATGTGTATATAGCCGCGACTTGCAAATACCCCCACTCGTTAATTACGTTTAAATTGGGCCCAAAAAAAATAAATTGGGAAAAATAGGAAAATGACAAAAAAAAACACTTGTTGAATTTCAAAAAAAATAAATAGATTATGCTGATCATTCTTATGATAATTTTGAGATGTCAGAATCACCTATTTAACATTTTAAAATTTAACAAGTATTTTTTAATTGTTTTTCCAAAAAAAGTATTGTATAATTTATAATATAAATGAGAACTTCAAAGTTTCACACAGCAGATTATAAGCAGCGTGTTTGCTAATAAAGCATAAAAGTTTTTATATATTGTCATTATTCAAGCAATAATAACGTTTTAGGTTTGTTAAATTTCTGAATATATATATAGTAAGTATCTGTTACCTTAAAAATAGATGATTATTCAGAAATAATTTCAAATAGATAATATGTTAGTTACACGTACGGTACTATTCATGATCTATTCAAATAGATAGATATATATATGTTTATATCGCTATAAAGAAAGTTAATCTTCATGCTTACTCCAAAAACCTACCATCATTTTTTTCATCTAACCAAAAGAAATTCAATGTTGACAGTTGAGTGGTCAGAGGAAAGGAAAGGCACAAAGGTTACCTAACTTGAGAAAATTTCAATTATAGAAACCTGAGAGATCAATATGATTCACTTAAAATTTCAAACTGCGGAAAAAAAAAAACAAAAAACCTCCAACATCAAAGATTTTTGGCCTAGAAATATTCTTAACTGATGATTGGCTTATTTCCATCGGGACGTGAAACTTTTGGAAGAACCTTTCGCAATAAGGATTTAAATATATATATATATATATATATATATATATATATATATATAACACTACTTTTTTCAAACTTACTTTACAAATTAAATACCACCTTCATTACTTAATATAAGAGCTAATTGACTAATTTGAATAAAATAAAAAAATAGTTAAATTAGTTATTTCTAATAAATAAGTGTTGTTTTCCTTAAAATATCTTTACTAATAATATATATTAGCTAGAATTACAATTTGATGAAATATTTAATATATGTAACTATTATAAAGACTATTAAAAAAAAAGATAAATATGAGAGACAAAGTGGATTGAGATAATATATTTAGGACCAAACTAAATATTAAACTAGCTCTTATATTAAAAACAGGAGGTCGTCATACGAGGATTTAATTCATGTATGGATTTTGAGCTAGGGACGTGTAATTAAATAAAGATCAGCACATCCTTGTAATTATGAAAACGTGAGTACGCATATGAGTTGGCGCAAATGGTTAAAGAATCCGAACCCGGCTGACTCTCTTTGACCATCATTAATTAGTTATGATCGATCTTCAAATAAAATTATGGTTAATTATAATCATATATAGTTACAGATATATCATTTCTGGCTTGAAGATGTATATTAAACACATACAACAATCCCAAGTAAAATTAATTAGCTGACCGATGAGTAAAGCTCGTTAAATCATCACGTAGCTATGCTCTTGAATATGATATGATTATTTGTTTTCCTCGTGAAACAACGACGATATATTTATCCCAAGTCTCATTATTAAGTCAAAGGATGCATCAGTAAGCAATCCTTGTGATCTTCAGTTACAACTACTTAAGACCTACTGATCAGGCAATTAATTATATTCAAAATACTAATATAATATAATACTACTCCGGTTCTAAATATAAAACCCTTTTTCTAGTGTAAATTACACTATAAAAAGAGTCTTATATTTAGGATTAGAGGAGTATGATATAAAGGTGTATCATGCCAAAGCCATATGCGGAGGGACTAAGCTCCTCACTATCATAATTATACCAATTGATATTAAAAGTTCAAGACTTTTTATATCGGTTTACCCTTATTGTAGTGCTTTTTAATTGCTGTAAAGAAATGCTTTTTTTTTTTTGGTGCAAGTGAGCATTCAGTTAATCCCGAAAAAATTATTGAGCCAGACAAGTAGAAATGAGAAGGCTCAATCATTTGATGAATTATTATAAATAGTAACTATGAAAGGACACTATATGATGGACACCCATATATAGTAATGCCTAGAATATAAACGCAGAATACAAAACCTAGAAAATTATGACAAATAGCATTACATGAAGGCAGTGTAGCTTTCAGATCTATGTAGAAATACAAGGGCAAGTTGCCAACTAAAGACTCTGAAAGCATATTCAAGGGCGTAGAGTCGTGGAACGAGGAGATATTATATATATATATATATATATATATATATATATATATATGAAGGAGCTCATGATCTATCCATCACATACATGTGATGATGGTTCTGTGTGTTTTGTATGTTTGCTTCTAATAATATAAGTAAATCCAATGTTCATAGTTCACTTTATTCATCTTTCACATTGCTTTGTCCTTTTGTTCCTCACTTGTCAATTCTCTCTCCTTTTCATCACAACTCATTCTCCCACGCTTTTAATTCTCACTTCACAACTTCTTCATCTCCTTATCTTCCTACATATCTACTTCTTTGTTTTAGTCCCAACGGTTTATTCAGAAACTAGTTCGGTATGGTTGAAAAGTTAACCCAGAGAAAATAACCTGATGTGTCTAGAGTATCCTAGAGTTGACTTGAGATAACTCGTTGGGTTGAGTGGATTACCCAGATTATTTTTTCAAAAGAAGACTATTATAGGCACAAAATGACTGTGTGTTTTTTTTCCCTGGGGGGTGGTGGGAAGGATGCTGCTTCAGTTCTTTGGTTCTTACTTTCTCTCATCATCACCAGTTTAATCTTGAGTTAATCCCAATATAACTCACTAACAACCGGTTTGTTGAGTGGTTCCATTTTCAGTACCTTGCAAAAAAGTCATGTTAATATTTATTGACAATAATGAAA